GCTATAGTTCTTCTTTTTCTTTTTTTGCATTCATTCCATGAATAATTCACAATCAGACAAGCGCTAAAACATTTCATTATTGTGCTACACAATCAGAATATTTAATGATTTAATCAGCGCAACAGCCATCACATTTGCAGCATCGTATCGTTGCAACAACCAAACAACAACAGCAAAAAAAAAAAAAATGAGAAAAATTAAAACCCCAAAAAAATTAACAAAACGAAACAAAACACTTATTCAGCAAAACTTAGAGCCAGAAAAGGCAACCAGCCAGTTAGCCTGCAAATCCAGTCAGTCAGTCTAACTGTGGCCCTGTTTGTTTAGTTACGTTTGTTCAAATGTTGCAAGCAACAAATCCCAGCATGTATGGTCTGTCTGTCCGTCTGTATGATGTTCGTGTAAGTTTGTTTTTTTTTTCTTCTTCTTCTGGATATTCGTATATGGCAATGACAAAGAAAAAGTCAACAGAAATAAGTAAAAGAAAAAAACAACAAAAAGCTGAGGAAAATGCATTCAGCCAGGCCACAAGAAAGAAGTACGAGAACAAGTATCACCACAACTACGTAGAGTTTTGTTTGACTACGATCATAGCAGTGATAACTACAAGGTTCACAGATTTTTTAATTTAGCAAAAAAAAAAAAATGAAATGAAATAAAAAACTAAATACAACAACAAAATGCAAAAGTACAAGTACAAAAAGAAGAACATCATGTATCCAAAAACTAAAGTAATGGCGCGCGACTCATGTTTACACACAACAACAAAAACGACTCGTAATAAAAACAGCAACAACAAAAACGAAAATTATATTAAGACGGTGAAGCAGCAACGACTTTCAAACACCTAGGTGTTTGATAAAGCATTTCTTGTTTTGTAGAAGTTTCCTTTAGGAAATCCTTAGCTAGATAGCGAGAGAGTTTCGTTTGAGAAATCTTCAGATAGAGTTTTCTTTGGAAACTCTTAAGCTAGATAGCGAGAGGCATTCCTAGATAGGCTAGATAGCGAGAGGCATTCCTTAAGAATCCTAGAACTCGACAAGGAGAACAATTTCTTTAGGAAATCTCGAACTAGACGCAGAGAAAATTTAAGGAAATCTTGGGCAAGCTAGCGAGAGAGTTTACTCTAGAAAATCTTAAGAGTTTCTTTGGGGAAACTTTGAGTTTATAGCGGGATGAAAGCCTTAGTTAGTCAGCGTGAGAGTTTTTTTTTGGAAAACCTTGATCTTGATAGCGATAAAGTTTTCATTGAGAAATCTTGAGCTAGTGTTCTAGAGTTTCCTTTGGGAAAGCTTGAGCCTGATATCGAAAGATTCCTTTAAACATTAGTATTTCCTTTACGAAACCTAAAGCTAGATTGCTAAAGAATTTCTTTAAGAATTCTTGAGTTTGACAGCGAAAGTATTTTCTCTAAGAAATCTCGAACTAGATAGCGAGAGAGTTTCCATAAGGAAACCTTGGGCAAGATAGAGAAACTACTTTATAAAATCTTAAACTAGAGAGCGAAAGAATTTCCTTTAGCAAAACAAGAGTTAGATAGCAATTATTGAGCTTGAAGCGAAAGTATTTTCTCTAGGAAATCTCGAACTAGATAGCGAGAGAGTTTCCATAAGGAAACCTTGGGCAAGATATAGAGAGAGAGAGAGAAATTCCGTATGCAATACAAGAGCTAGATGGCAATAGCTCGCTTTTAAAAAACCGTGAGCCGTATACCGAATAAGTTTCCTACAGAAAAACTTGAGCTAGATGGCGAGAGATCTTCCTTTGGAAAACTTTTAACTAGAAATCAATGGAGTTTGCCTTAGCAAACCTTTAGCTAGATAGCGAGAGACCTTATTCGGCGAAAACTTGATCTCTTTGGGACACCAAAGGAAACCATAGATAGCGAGAGTGTCCTTTAGAAAATTTTGAGTTAGATAACGATAGAACTTTTTACGAACCCTCGAGCTAGAGAGATTTCTTTGCGTAATCTCAAGTTAGATAGCAAGAAGTTTCCTAATGGAAATCTTGAATTCTTGCGAGGAAATCTCAAGGATTCTTTTTTGTATTAGGAAAAAAATTACTTTTATTTTCACAAAAATCATATTTTGGTTCAAAATAAATGTGATCGAAGAGAGTGTGATTAATGTTTATAAAAATATATTCCACATACGCACTGAGAGTCAAAATTGTTAAAAATATTAATCTAAAAATTATATTTCTAAAGCAAAACCTTTAGAGGATTTCACATTAAGTCAAGGGCAAAGTAGGGCATTTAAGAAACACAATCACATGCATAAACAAAACACATTTAACAAACAAACACGAAATAAAACAATATTTCTTGGAGACATTTTTGATCCTTAACATTTGGAAAACAGTGAAGGAAATTTATATAAAAGCAAGACAAATAAAAAAATAAATATTCAAAAAGAAAGACCATGAAACTTTCACACACCTGACAATTTAGTAAAATATATCATGAGATTATTTCCAGAATATTCCAAAAGCTTAAATATTTAGTGCTTAATAAATTGTTCCCCTATATAAATCTTCCCTACTGTCTAAAAACTCCTGTTTAATTTTATTTATATTTATCCAGTATTGGTTTTTTTACTTTTACTTCCACTACTTTTAGTTTATTCTACCCTTTTACATACGAAGGAATACTCATACTCTTACGAGAAGTTCGAGTACAATATGTGTCTGATTCTTCTAATTAAATAATTCGCAGAAATTCGAATTAATTGCATGAAGATACCAGTGTTTTAAAGTTGAAAACAGAAACACAACACAAAACCCAAGGATGTGGCAAGCTAACAAAAAAACAATATTCTTATCCCAACCATGATAATATTCCATGGATGCACTTGCCAACCAACGAAGTCACAAGACAACAGACATTTACTTATAACTTAGCCAAAGATGAGGAATAAAAGAAATTGAGAAAAAAAAAACTAAATCCAAATCGAAATCCAAATAAACATTGTTGCGTGCTCATGTTTTTGTTGAAAGATTGTGCGAGTATTTACGATGCAACGACATGGAAAATGTTGTTGTTACACAACATTTTGTATCTTCTTGTTGTTGTCTTAAATAATAATAAGTGGTAAGATGGAATAGTATGGTTAGAGTTCAATAAGAAATATCCTTTTGATTGTTGTGGCCTTTTTAGAGGTTTTAATTTTTCTTTTCTTACTGTTTGCAAAACAAAAGGATGAACAAATTTTCTTAAATAAATTTATCATTAATGGTTACTGGTGTTTGAAAATACATGATTAAGTTGTAAGACAAAATTTTTGGAAATTTTTGCTGCTAAAAATTTCACACTATTCTATAATTTCTAACTGGTGTGAAAAAATAGTTGGATTTAAAATTGTTAACAGCGTGCTCCGTGACGAAACATGCTCAGGTAGATATATTTTAAGTTTTATTTATGAAATCTTGACCTAATTAAAGAGATAGCTAGAAGCTTGAGAAAACCTAAGAGAGAGATACGATTTTATGGAATTTTACATCCTAAAAGACTAAAGAACCATTCCTCATTTCTTAATTTCATTAAAACTTACTTGCAGACTTTCTACAGAGCAAGGTATGGCCATTGATATCTTCTACATTTAAGGTCTCAACTTACGCTTATGACATAGACGTATAATCGATATACAAAATTCTAATCAACATCTGACAGTTAGAAAATTAGTTATCCATTGAAATAAAACGGTTTGGTAACAAAATTGTACTTCATATTCCTTTTTGTTCGAACGATGAAGAGAAAAATCTGAAATGGTTTTCTACTTCATCAGAATCGAGTCGGCTGGAGTATCAATTAGTTAATCGCTGGCGGGAATCGAACCTTTAGTGGGACTTGCAGACTATAGCACTACCAACTAATTAGTTAGCTAGTTAGTTAGTTAGTTAATTAGTTAGTTAGTTAGTGAGTTAGTTAGTTAGTTAGTTAGTTAATTAGTTAGTTAGTTAGTTAGTTAGTTAGTGTTAGTTAGTTAGTTAGTTAGTTAGTTAGTTAGTTAGTTAGTTAGTTAGTTAGTTAGTTAGTTAGTTAGTTAGTTTTTAGTTAGTTAGTTAGTTCTTTTAGTTCGTTAGTTAGTTCGTTAGTTAGTTAGTTAGTTTTAGTTAGTTAGTAGTTAGTTAGTTGTTAGTTGTTATTTAGTTTTAGTTCGTTCGTTAGTTAGTTAGTTCGTTAGTTCTTCGTTCGTTGTTCGTTAGTTCGTTCGTTCGTTCGTTCGTTGTTCGTTCGTTCGTTCTTTCGTTCGTTCGTTCGTTCGTTCTTCGTTCGTTCGTTCGTTCTTTCGTTCGTTCGTTCGTTCGTTCGTTCGTCGTTCGTTCGTTCGTTCGTTCGTTCGTTCTTCGTTCGTTCGTTCGTTCGTTTCGTTCGTTCGTTCGTTCGTTCGTTCGTTCGTTCGTTCGTTCGTTCGTTCGTTCGTTCGTTCGTCGTTCGTTCGTTCGTTCGTTCGTTCGTTCGTTCGTTCGTTCTCCCCCCCTTCTTTTCTTGCCGGCGTTTTCTTTCGGCTCTCGTGTTAGCTCGCGCGGTCCTTTTAGGCTTTTTTGCCTCCCTTCTTTTCGATCAATTCACGTGCAATTTTATTACTTCAAAAGCGTCTGTGAAACCTTTTTGGTTTTGAATTTAACGCTTTTGTTCCTACCAGCCAAAGCTGCCATACGATTTATAGTTAGTCAATATATTGCTTTGTCTTATTTTAAATGTATACTATACATACATATACAGCTTATAAACTTAAGAGTTTCAATTTACAAATTCAAAGATCACTGTACATGTTTTAATATAAAAAATATGTTTGTATCACTCTTAAAACAAGTGCAGTGCTCTTATCAAAAATATACTTTAATAATTAAAGACAAAAGAAAACAAACAAAAAAAGAAAGCTTTAAATAATAAATATTATTTTTAATAACAAAAAATAAAAAACACTGATTAAAAGCCCACAAACCGAAGACGAGTTATGAAAACTCAGAGCCTAATCTATATAAATTAATTCAGTTTTATTCAAGACGCGAACGTGTAAATGCGGTTTAAAAAAAGTGTTTAATTAAATAAAATAAAATAAATAAATTTGGGGAGAAACAAAGAACCACAAATAAAAAAATACAATTATAAAAAAACAAATCAACAATGACACTTAATACCCCTAGACAGCGTGAATTTTTACTGCTGTTGCCAATATTGATAACAACACTAACATGCCTCTCGGCTGGAGCCCTTCAACTTGACCTTAAAGACACCTGTTCGGGCAGTTCATTGTACTACTGCACTTTAACTAATCTAACCAGTTCCTTTGAAGAACCTTTGGTATGGAATACCAAATCAACAACAGAACAACTTAATGAATTATTAATCTACAACTCGGTTATGGGACGTTTACCATCAGCGATATTTGAAATTGCTCCCAAACTGCATACGCTTATAATGCACAATTGTGCTTTAAATAATATAATGCCCATGGATTTTGAAAAGGCCTCCCAATTGCACAAGTTGGTGCTGCAACGCAATCGTTTGTTTATCATACCCGAACGTGTATTTGCCGGTTTATTTGCTCTGGAAGAGCTTTATCTTTCGCACAATACTATACACATGATTCATCGTTATGCTTTTGTACGTTTACAGAGATTAAAATATTTGGATTTGCAGGAAAACGGCATACGTACTTTACCGGAGGGTGTATTCGAAGATCTTATCAATGTGGAACATATTGATTTGAGCTATAACGAGCTAGAGGTCATCAATGCCAATACATTTCTTAAGAATCTCAAACTTAACACTCTCTTGCTGAGTGGCAATAATTTCTCTGTATTTGAGCCCAATTCTCTGATGAATTTGAATCATTTACATATACTAGACTTGAGCAATACTTATTTAGAAGAGCTGCAGCTACAATCGGTGGATTTGCTATTGGTTCAGGGTAGTAAACTGAAACGTTGCACAATAGATTCGGTTATTAAATTAAATGCTGCCAATAATGCTTTAAAGAATATCACCATACATGATAAATTGGCTGTTCGGGAATTGGAATTACATGGTAATCTTTTTGAAACTTTAGATGACTTAGTGGGCATGTTGAATCTACAAAAGCTGGATATTTCTAAAAATCAATTGTCTTCGCTGAAAACCTCACATTCGCCTTTATATTTACCTTTACCAAATCTTATTTCTCTTAATTTGGCTTCTAATCGTTTGCAAAATTTAACTTCTGATAATTTTGTGTTTCTGCTTAAGCTTAAGAGTTTAGATTTGGCTTTCAATCATTTGATACGTTTGGATTCCAGTATTTTCCAACCGCTTATCAATTTGGAGAATTTTTATGTAGAAGGCAATCGTTTGTATGAATTCAATTATGCTGAGTTTAAAGATTCTCATACATTTTTACGTGAAGTGGGCATATTTGAAAATGATTGGGAATTCCGTTACCTAAAACACATGTTAAACTATTTCCGTAATCGTGGCATACATCTACCCATGCGTTTTACTCCTGCGGATTCTTTATCCTCCACCTCTGCTGCCAGTTTCCATGATACTACCGATGCTTCAGTTTTTAAATCGTCCTCTAGCTCTAATGTTCATCGTGATATGGATGAAGTGGATATTTTAAATGATATGAATCGTGCTCGTCAATCTTCGGCCCATTTGGATACCCATGTCGAGTGTACACATCAAGCTTCTCTAACTGGGGTTTCTGGCATTCATCCCTATTGGACTACTCGTGATGTTTTAGCTTTAATTACTTTAATTGTAGTTTTAGTGATTTTAATTTTGCAATTTTTTCGCATTTTACAAGAGGAACGATGTTTGCCTTCGTGGTGTCGTTGCTGTTTAGATTTGGCTTCTCGAGAAACGGAACCCTTACATCCGCGTCATAGACCATTGGTGGAAGATACTACGAATGTTTAGGTTTTAAGTGAAATATTCCAATAAAAGTGTATGTGATTTTCTATAAATAACATTAGAAAGTTGTTTGTTTGGAATAGAACTCTGCAAATGTGAAGGTAAAATTAAGACAACTATGGACTTACCAATTAATCTGGTATCGAAGGTCTTAGAAAACTAATTGTTTGAAGTGTTCCGCAAGGTAATTATTTGAAAAAGAGGTATAGTTCTACGCCATATGAATTCAAGGTGTTTCAGAGATCCTAATTTCACGGAGATCGCTAAATAGATTTTAGCGAAAATTTCGAATATGAAGGGAAAAATGTCTAGGTTTCCAGGCTGCAAAAGAGCACACGAGGGTCCTATTGGTCCCTTTGTGATAAATATGTCTATAATTTCTAAACGTTTAGTCCGATTTCAATAAGTTCACATATCAAGAGAGGAAGTGCTGTAGCTTTGGATGTTTGTAAGTTTTTAACTCACTCGGGTGAGTCCAGAGATCTCTAAATGTTTTAATGTTTTAATTGTGTGAAAAATGTTTAACTTTTTGTTTCAGAGCAGACTTTGGGGAAATCAGATCAAAATTTAAAACATAAATTCGAGAAACTTCCTCTCTATGTCAAATTTTGTTGAAATCGGACTAACACTGTGCTCTACTTTATACAAGGGTCCAAAATAATCAATGGAATGAATATTTATCTCTAATTTCAAGAATTACTATTAGTAAAAAAATATAATTCCAATAACATCTTCCTCAACCTAAAATGATCAATAAGTCTTAGGGAATCTTGAAATAATTTAGAAAATTATGGGAATTCTGCACATTCAAACAATACACATAATAATACTAACTTAAAATAACCACAAAAATATTTACTCGCCTGTATTTATGATCAACGAATTATAATGAGTTGAGAAGAGTTGCAGTCAGTGATAACAGCAGGTGAGCTTTGAAAAGCTTGTTTTTCCTTATTATTTTTTTCTCTCCATCCTTGCTGTTTCTCTGTGCTTTGTTTAAAAACGCGCTTAAGTATGGTCGATAGGTCGGCCGGTCGTTGGTGTGATTGCTTATGGACATCTGTTGCGTATCGATACCCGATTTTTATAAATTGTGTATCAATTGAGATTTTTTGTCTGGTTTTTGCTTGCTTTTTGTTGCTGTTGTGGCGTATGATTTTGTGGGCGTCTCTGGAATCACACGCCCTTTGCAACATATTAAACTAAGACATGCATAAATTTGTAAAGTTGTACGGTTTCGTTTTTTTGTGGGCAAATGAAAACATATTCTAGATTTAACAGCGGCATTTTATTACTCTGACTTTCAAATGATATTTTTGTAAACGATGCGATCAATATTGCACTATGGGGTTAGAAATGAAAATATCGGAATCAAAGACAATGTTATTCCATAAGCGATCATAATGCATGAACACGTTTAGAATGCTTAATAGTATCAACTTGTGAAAGGTAACATTCGTATATCATACCCGAACGTGTATTTCTCGGCTTCTCTTCTTGAGATAAGCTTTATCTTTCGCACAATACTGAACATTGTACGTTTGTAGACAACAAAGTATTTGGATAGGAAAACGACATACGTGCAGTACCAGACGGCTTTTAAGAAGATCAATGTGGGGATCAATCATGGAATCATAGCTGAGAGAATGCTTATTGAAGATCCTTGTGCGATCACACGTTTCTAATTTCCAAAAGGAGGTCAATGTCATTGAATTAAGAATAAAAGCTTTGAATGTTTTATCAAAAACGTTTGAGTAATCCGGAACGCATTTCGATGCTATTGATGCCGCTTCTGAAATATGAAACATTGGCATATCGTATCAAACGTTTTTTAACACCAGTAAAGACGTCAATCTTTACTGATCCAATGAAAGTTCATCGATTAATCTAAGATCAATATCATGAGGAGAGGATACATTTTCGGGATCATTATATGGCCGTATGTTCTTGATCACCAAACATGCTTAATGAATCAGTAAAGACGTCGATGTCTTTACTGGTTCCATCACAGTTCATCACGTAATCAAGATCTTATGGAGATGATACATTTTGAAGATCGTTATTGATAGTTCTTGATCTTCAAACATACTTGATGTATCAGCAATAAGGTGCTGTGAAACTTAAAGTGATCACGAAGCATAGAGATATTCTTATTTCCATGTCTAACTCAAACATTCTCGGTTTTCATGATAGTTTCGAGACCAAAATGATTCCTAGGACGCGTAACACTTTTCCTAAGAGCGGGAATTCTTCGTTGCGTACCATGATCTCACTATTTCCGTGTTCCATTTAATCCGAACATAATTCTTGGATTAACACGTTAGTTTCGAATCCAAAATGATGTCTAGAGAGGACAGCATTGATTTCTAAAGAGGACAACATTCGAAAGCCCCATAGTGCACAATAAACCAAACAAAAACTATAGTAAATTTAACACAAAACAAATTTCGTATTTTGTTATTTTTGTTAATAAATTTGTTCTTTTGAGTTGCACGATCAGCCGTTGGTCATTTTGGCGCAGCCATATACACCGCTTCAAAATAAACGAGACAAAAGTTTGCCAAGCGTTCAAGTAGCATAGCCCAGCGTCTAAATGTCTGCTGTAAAAACTGAAAAGAAATTCTTCTCACAAAAACCTATAGTTTCCACAAAAGCTTAACGAAATACAACTTTAATGTAAAACTTAAGGATTTGAACTACTATATCAAAACTAAAAAAAAAATTAGCAAAGGCCGTTTGAGGGCAGAGCAGGGAGTCAAATCGATATTGTTGCATTTATGAATTAGTGTGTGATTTTTTTTTTCCTTTTTCTTATTGGGGGGAAAAGCGTTTTGTAGGTGTTACCGCAAAGGCTGAGCAAAGTGTAAATTTATGTTTTAGTTTCTTATGGGATTTTATCAGCAATGAGAAGAAAAATGATTTTATTTTTTTGAAAAAAAAAAAATATTACAATTTGCAGTGGGAATTTAAAACATTTAACACATTTTTTACACTTTCCCAACTAAAAAAAACCCTTTTATGTTTTTTTCTTCCTTTATGGTTTGGTTTACGAGGCTGAGGAGTCTATAATATCATCTGTCATTATTTTGATTATTTTATTGATGTTTTTTTGTGTTTATCGAAAAAAATTTTATTCGCATTAACATGTTGCGGCAAGCAAGCAGGCAGCTAAATTTGTTTGGAGTGTGTTGTAAATAATATTTTCATTGTAATATATTTTCGTTATTTTTTTGTTTTTAGTGGGAGTGACTTAAATTGCGGTTGTTTTGTGGCGCGGTTATTATACGAGCGTGTTACATATTTTTATCACAAAAGCCGCAATTTTCCTTTTTTTATTCGCAGGATTTTTAAACCATTTTTCAAAAATAATAAAAAAATCAAATTACACGACTTTTGTGCTATTTTAATGTTTAATGGTTGCAGTTGCAAAAGGGGTGGATTTTTGGCGAATTTTACATGAAATCAAATTATTTTGAAAAAAAAATATGGGGTGTAATCTTAGAAACATATTGTTTTTGATTAGATTATAACAGAAAATACATATTATAATATAAAAAAAAAAGAAATTGATTTGATATTGCAAATATTATTTCCCATGGAGTATACAATAGACTCGACTATAGACTAGATTATAGACTAGACTAGACTATAGACCAGACTATAGATTATACTATAGACTAGACTATAGACTAGAGCATAGACTAGACTATAGACTATACTATAGACTAGACTATAAACTAGACTATAGACTAGACTATAGACTAAAATATAGACTAGACTATAGACTAGACTATAGACTAGACTATAGACTAGACTATAGACTAGACTATAGACTAGACTATAGACTAGACTATATATTAGACTATAGACTAAACTATAGACTAGACTATAGACTAGACCATAGACTAGACTATAGACTAGACTATAGACTAGACTATAGACTAGACTATAAAGTAGACTATAGACTAGACAATAGACTAGACAGTAGACTAGACAATAGACTAGACAATAGACTAGACTATAGACTAGACAATAGACTAGACAATAGACTAGACTATAGACTAGACTATAAACTAGACTATAGACTAGACTATAGACTAGACTAGACTAGACTAGACTATAGACTAGACTATAGACTAGACTATAGACTAGACTATAGACTAGACTATAGACTAGACTATAGACTAGACTATAGACTAGACTATAGACTAGACTATAGACTAGACTATAGACTAGACGATAGACTAGACTATAGACTAGACTATAGACTAGACTATAGACTAGACTATAGACTAGACTATAGACTAGACTATAGACTAGACTATAGACTAGACTATAGACTAGACTATAGACTAGACTATAGACTAGACTATAGACTAGACTATAGACTAGACTATAGACTAGACTATAGACTAGACTATAGACTAGACTATAGACTAGACTATAGACTAGACTATAGACTAGACTATAGACTAGACTATAGACTAGACTATAGACTAGACTATAGACTAGACTATAGACTAGACTATAGACTAGACTATAGACTAGACTATAGACTAGACTAGACTAGACTACTGAATAAAGTCTACTATAGACTAGACTATAAGAAGTACGATAACTAGTTAGTTAGTTGGTTAGTTAGTTAGTTAGGTAGTTAGTTAGGTAGTTAGTTAGTTAGTTAGTTAGTTGTTAGTTAGTTAGTTAGTTAGTTAGTTAGTTAGTTAGTTAGTTAGTTAGTTAGTTAGTTAGTTAGTTAGTTAGTTAGTTAGTTAGTTAGTTCGTTAGTTAGTTAGTTAGTTAGTTAGTTCGTTAGTTAGTTAGTTAGTTCGTTAGTAGTTTTAGTTAGTTAGTTAGTTCGTTAGTTAGTTAGTTAGTTTTAGTTGTAGTTCGTTAGTTAGTTAGTTAGTTAGTTAGTTAGTTTAGTTAGTTAGTTAGTTAGTCGTTTTTCGTTAGTTAGTTAGTTCGTTTTAGTTAGTTAGTTAGTTCGTTTTAGTTCGTTAGTTAGTTAGTTCGTTAGTTCGTTAGTTTGTTAGTTCGTTCGTTCGTTCGTTCGTTCGT